GGACAGTACTGTAATAGAGAGTGACAGCCTGGAGTTAATGTGGAATGCCGAATCTTCTCTCTCAACGAAGAGCGATGAAATAATCTGCAGGCACTGTCTGGTACACAAAAGCTTGGTACAGGTTTAGGGAACAGGATGAAACTGCTTATGGATTGTTCTGTAGTGTTCGATAGCAGAGGGATGACATGTGGCTTACAGTGGTGGTCCCTGTCATCTTATTGCAGGAATATCTGACAGTATTAATTTCTGCCCATTTGTTAGTTCACAGTGGTTGTGGATATGTGAAGTGATTTGAATGCTAGGATTCCTAACTCGCACCAAATCCGCTATTAATCACCCTCATGCTCCCTGAACTATGTTGACTCTTGGTCAATCAATTCCTTCATTTCAAAATTCTCATCCATGTATTTCAGATCCCTATGGCCTTGCTCCTGTTAATGTGTAATCTCCTCCACTCTCACAACCTTCTGAAAGTTTTTTAATTCATTTATTGGATTGAAGGTGGTGCTGGCTAAGTGAGCATTTATTGTCCATCCCTAATTGCCCCGGAGAAGGTAATGATGAGCTATTTTCTTGAACCATTGTAGTTCTTGATGGTCAGGCACCCACAGAGCTGTTACACTTAGTGACAGTGAAGTAGTGATACATTTCCAAGTCAATGAGTGGTGTGGAAGGGAACTTGCAGGGGTTACTGTTCCCATGTACTTGCTGTCCTTGCCCTTCTAGATGATCATTGTTGTGGGTTTGGATGGTGCTGTTTGAGGATCTTTGGTGAATTTCTGCAGTGCATCTTGTAGATGGTACACACTGTTGGTGCTGAGTGTCGGTGGTGGAGGGAGTGAATGTTTGTGGATGTGGTGCTAATCAATCTGGCTGCTTTCTCCTGGATAGTGTCAAGCTTCTTGCATGCTGTTGGGGCTGCGTTCATCCAGCCAAGTGGAGAGTGTTCCATCACACTCCTGACTTGTGCCGTGCCACAGAATTCCTCTGACCTGCTGTTGCCTCCACGGTATTTATCACGGAATCACAAATGAGTTATGGTGTTGAATGAAGCCATTCAGCCCATCATATCAGCACCAGCTGTCCAAATGAGTTAGTAGCATTCTTCTGTAGACAATCAGGAGTCCTGAAGAAGGGTTATGCCCAAAACGTTTACTGCTCCTTCCCTGGCTTGCCGCGTTCTTCCAGCCTCCTGTTTGTCTACCTTAGATTCCAGCATCTGCAGTTTTTTTTTTGTCTCTAGTAACATTCTTCTGCCTTTTCCCTATGCTTTTGCATGTTATAGAGTCATACAGCAAAGAAACAGGCCCTTCAGCCCACCATGTCTATGCTGACCAACCAACATAATCCCATTTATCTGCACTTGGTCCATAGCCTACTATGGCCCAGCATTTTAAGTACCTGCTTCCACCACCCTCCCAGGCAGTGTGTTCTGTATTTCCATCACCTGCTGGGTGAAAAAAAATTTCTCCGATCTCCTCTAAACCACTTGCTCTTCACCTTAAATCTATGCTGTCTGGTCTTAAATGTGTCTGCCATGGGGAAGAAATTCTCTCAATTTATTCTGTTTTTTCTACTTAAGTAGCACTCTTGCATGGATGGATTAGTTATGATATTCTAAAATTCCCTGGATTCTGGAAAGGTACCAGTGGATAGGAAACATGCTAATGTGACACCCTTATTGAAAAAAGGCAGAAAGTGGGAAACTGTAGACCAGCTGGTTTGGCCTCTGTAGTGGGGAAGTTGCTGGTGTCAGTCGTTAAGGAGGAGATAACTCAACACTTGGAAAAATAAAACTCAATTCATCAGTGACAGCTCAGTTTTACAAAGGACAAATCAAGCTTGACAAACTTGCTGGAGTTCTTTTGAGGATATAAGCAGGAAGGTGGATATTGGGGATCCAATGGATGTGGTATATCTAGACTTTTCTAGAAGGCTTTTGACAAGGTGCTGTATAAAAGTCTGATCTAGAAGGTTAGATCCCAAGGGGTTAAATGAGAAGTATTGACTGACTGATAGAAAGCTGAGAGTCGGGACAAATGGGCCCTTCTCTAAATGGCGAATTGTGACTAGTCAGGTGTCACAAGGTTTAGTTCTTTGACCTCAACTGTTTACAATCTATAGAAATGGTCTGCAAGCAGGGACTGTGTAACAGACCAAAATTCATGGATGACACTAAAATAGGTGGGAAAGCAGGCTGTGATGAGAAGATAAAGAGAGTACAGGTGGATATTGGTAGGCTAGGAGAATGGGCCAGAATCAGGCAGATTGAGTTTGATGTGGATAAGTGCGAGGTTGTCCATTTTAGCCAGAAAAACAAAAGGGCAAATTATTATTTAAATCAGAAGAAGATTCTAAAGTGTGTCAGTGCAGAGGGATCTGGGTGTTCTTGAGCATGAATCGCAGGAAGTGGCTCTTCAGATGCAACATATAATTAGAAAGGCAAAAGGGATCCTGGCATTTATTGCAACAGGACTGGATTATAAAAACAAAGAAGTATTGTTACAATTAAGTAAAACGTTGGTGAGACCACACCTGGAATAATGCGACCAGTTTTTGTTTTTGTTATTCGAGGAAGGATGTGGTGGCACTGGAGGCAGTTCAGAGGAGGTTCACTAGATTGATTCCAGGGAGGAGCAATTTAATAGGCTGGGCTTATAATCGCTGCAGTTCAGAAGAAAGAGGGGGATCTGATTGAGGTATATAAATTGTTAAACGGGTTTGATAAGGTGTGATGTGGAGGTGCTGGTGTTGGACTAGGGTGGACAAAGTCAGAAGGCACACAATACCAGGTTATAGTCCCAACAAGTTTATTTTGAAATCACAGAAGCTGCTCGATAAGCTCAGCAGGTCTGGCAGCATCTGTGAAGAAAAAAAAATCAGAGTTAAAGTTTCGGGTCCGGTGACGCTTCCTCAGAACCCAAAACGTTAACTCTGATTTTTCCTTCACAGTTGCTGCCAGACCTGCTGAGCTTTTCCAGCAACTTCTGTTTTTGTTCCTGATTAACAGCATCCACAGTTCTTTTGGTTTTTATTTTGAAATCTCTCAATCTTTCGGAGCACAGCCCCTTTATCAGGTGCAATGTGTGATTTCAAATAAACCTGTTGGACTATAACCTGGTGTCGTGTGACATCTGGCATTGATAAGGTGGACATTGATCAAATGTTCCCCTTGTGGAACAGTCTAGAACAACAGCTCATAGATATAGAATGAGAGGAGGTACATTCAAAACTGAGATGTGGAGAACGCTGTGAATCTGTGGAAATCATTGCCCCAGAGTGCACCGAAGACAGAATCAATTAACATTGATGAAAGAAATGGATATGTTTCTGATGAAAAGCAGCATAAAGGGCAATAGGGAGGAGGCAGGAAGGTGGAGTTGAGACCAGGATAAAATCAGCCATGATCATGTTAAATGGCCAAGCGGGCTCAAAGAGCTTAATTGCCTACTCCGGCTCCTAATTCCTTTGCTCCTATGATTGCTTCATTTGAACCTATCTCCACCACACTTCCAGATAGAGCATTCCAGGCTTGAATATTATTGCTTTAGTTCACTTTCTGCTCAAACCTCGGGATGTTGATAGTGGAGAATTTGTTGATAGTAATGTCATTGAATTTGGTCATTGCCAGGCAGCTATGTATCGTGAATGTTAGTTGCCACTTGTCAGCCCAAGCCTGGATATTGTCCAGATCTTGTTGCATTTGAACATGGACTGCTTCAGTATCTGAGGAGTCACGAATGGTGCTGAACATTGTGCAATCATCGGCAAACATCCCCACTTCTGACATTATGATGGAGGGAAGGTCATTGATGAAGCAGCTGAAGATGGTTGGGCCTAGGACGTGACCCAAGGAGCTCCTGCAGAGATGTCCTGGAACTGAAATGACTGATCTCAAACAAGCAAAACCATCTTCCTATGTGCCATGTATGATTCCAACCCAGTGGAGAGTTTAGAACATAGAACAGTACAGCACAGTACAGGCCCTTCGGCCCATGATGTTGTGCTGAACTTTTACCCTAATCCTAAGGTCTATCTAACCTCCACCCCTACCTTTATACTATCATCTATTTGCCTATCTAATAGCCGCTTAAATGCCCCTAATGAGGCCGACTCCACTACCCTCTCCAGCAATGCATTCCATGCCCCGATCACTCTCTGAGTAAAGAACCTACCTCTGACGTCTCCCCTATATCTACCTCCACTCACTTTAAAACTATGCCCCCTCGTAATAGCTACCTCCACCCTAGGAAAATTTGCCCCTGAAACCCATTGATTCCAGTTTTGCCAGGACTCCTTGATGCCACACTTGGTCAAATGCAGACTTGATGTCAGGGCCTGTCACTCTCACCTCACCTCTGGAATTCAGCTCTTTTGTCCATGTTTGAACCAAGGCTGTAATGAGGTCAGGAGCTGAGTGGCCCTGGCGGAACCCAAACTGGGCGTCACTGAGCAGGTCATTGCTGAGTAACTGTGCTGAGATATTTGTTTTCATCGAATTCTGGCCCTTCTGCATTCTCACGTTTCCTGGCTCTATCATTGCTGGATGTGCCTTCTGCTGCCTCTGCCTTCAACACTATTTTGTAATCTCCAAATATCTCCATTCCGTTCTTTAACTCAGCTGCTCATTAAAATCTACTGCTTTGCGCAAGCTTTTGGTTCGCTTGGAGTAGGTGTAGCTCAGTGTTAAATGTTTAAGACCATGCTCCTGTGAAGCTGCCAGGGATGGTTTACCCTATTAAAGGTGCTACATAAGTGAAGTTCCTATTGGTTATCATTGAAGAAGTGATGTTGATGTAATTCTGTCATTTAAGTCCTGGATGGTTTCTAGTGAACTGAAGGTGAGCAGTAATGAACACTTCTGTGTTAACAGGTCCTGGCTCAGTGTTTGAACTTCTAACTGTAAAAGACAAGGAGAGACTGCAGCTGCAGCAACAGCAGCCAGCTTCCTGGAACCTGCCTGGCCAGTGCCAGGCACCGGCCTCTGGGAAACCCAGGGATTCCCAGCTTTCTGGACTTGGAGGAAGGCTGACGGGTTCGAGTGAATTTAAACCCTTTCTAAAGAATCCAGAAAAGCAGAAGAGATATGAGGAATATGTGGCGAAGCTGAACTCGGGTCAAAGCAGTAAGTTAACCAAGACCAGCTTGTGTCTTTACAGTCTAGTTTGTTACAGTTGGGTCTTCAGAACACTGCGATCCTTATCTTTCAATAATCAGATGACAGGTCATTGACCTGAGACATTAACTCTGGTTTCTCCCTCACAGATACTGTCTGACTTCCTGAGTAGGTTACAGTATTTTCTGTTTTTAGTTCAGGTTTCCAGCATCTGCAGTATTTTGGTTTTATGGAGATCTATTGATTTTTCATTCAAACGTTTTCAATTTATCTCCAGCTGCAAGTGGTTTCTTTTGGGGGAAGAAAGCTCTAGAATTTCACTACCCGTTCTGGGACATTATCCTTGAACAGCTTCTTTCTAAATGTAGCACCTAAACCTTACATGTTGGACGTTCACTCTAGATGAAACGGTTTCTCTCTCAACACAAACCTATCCCTCCTTTAATCGTTTTAAATGTCGTGCTGAGATCACCCCTTAATCTCCTTATTTAGGAGAATGCAGTTGAGCCTATGCGACCTATCCTGGTAATTTCACAGTTTTAAGCCTGGTATTGACTGACTAACCTCCCCCAGATGCCCTGGCCAGCTGCTTGGACCCAAACATGACCGAGTGGGAGCGAGACCAGGAGCTGTACGAGTTCAGTCGGGCAGCAATGCTGTATCGTTCGACCAGTGCCTCGCTGTCGTCCCGCTTCACTCATGCCAAATTTTCAGAGGATACTGACAAGGTGGAAGTCCTTGAGCAACAGGAGGTACAGTAACGCTGAGGCCGGGGGTGTGTGTGCGTGTGTGTTGGGTGGGGTGGGGCCGATGGAGACAGCTGCGGGGAAGGGTTTTTATACAGACGCAGGTCAGTGCCTGGAACACGCTGCCTGGGGAGGTCGGAGAAACGGATATGACAGCAATGTTTGAGGCATTTAGACAGACACATGAACAAGCAGAGAATAGACAGATACAGACCATGTGCGGTAGATGGGATTGCTTATGGAGCGGCACGGTGGCTCAGTGGTTAGTACTGCTGCCTCACAGCACCAGGAATCCAGGTTCAATTCCACCCTCGGGCGACTGTCTGTGTGGAGTTTGTACATTCTCCCCACGTCTGCGTGGGTTTGCTCCAAATACTCCGATTTCCTCCCACAGTCTAAAGATATGCAAGATAAGTGGATTGGCTATGCTAAATTACCTATAGTGTTCAGGGATGTGCAAGTTAGGTGGATTGGCCATGGGAATCATAGGGTTGTAGGAATGTGGTGGGTCTGGGTGAGATGCTCTTTGGAGGGCTAGTGTGGATTCGATGGGCTGACTGACCTGTTTCCACACTCTAGTGGTTCTGCTTTAGAATGGCATCATGGTAGAACAGATATATTGGGCCGAAGGGCCTGTTCCTGTGCTGTACTGTTCTATGGATGGGCAGAGTTTACAGAGACAGCAGAAAGTGCCCAAATTGCACACATCTCTGGCATTGATCTAAAGAATGATGTTGTGTTATAACTGACTATTTTCCCTTCATTCCTGTGGGTGGTGGTTGTCTATGCTGTGGATATGACGTAGCTCAACATCTGGCACATAGATGTGAATGAATCTGCCATGTATTGTACTGAACCACCCAGACTGGGAGTGATCAGGTTCTGCCCTTGAACTTTGCTGACTCAGCTCAGAGTCACAATCAGAGCAGAATTCAAATAATAAGAGAGAAAAAAAGAAAGAGTAAAGACAACAAAAAAGAGGAGTCAGCCCATCAGTCTCATCTTTTTAGTACTCTATTGGCCTGAGTGCCTGCATCCTCTCAAACCACTGCCCCTCTGAGGACAGGCTAGTCTTGTATTTGAATCCCTTGTAGTGAGGGGCTGATCCACCCTGTGATGACTCTCCTGTTCCTCACAGAATGACGTCAATGACAAAGAGGCTGCAGTAAAAATGAAGATGTTTGGTCGTCTCACCAGGGACAAGCTTGAGTGGCATCCCGAGAAACTTCTCTGCAAACGATTCAATGTCCCTGATCCTTACCCTGGGTACGTATAGAATCATGATTCAGTCCCTCGCACTGGTACTTTGTCACAACTGGGAAGAGTTTCTGCACTAGCTGAGAAACTGTGAAGGACTCTCCTTGTCAACCTCTCCCCTCACCTGAGGCATAGTGACCCTCAGGTCAAACCCCCCGCAGTTGTCGCTGTCTCACGCTCTCAGTCTCTCTAATAAGAGAGGAGCGCTATGGTCTGGTAGGACTATGGCAATTTTACCTTTACTGACCAGGGGAAAATGTGCTGTTAATTGTGTCTCACTGTTCCACAGCCATCACAAACTGTATAACTACAATATAACTCCCAATGAGACCACCAAAATGATCAATTTGCTTGACTGATTGCTACCCGAGGACTAAAGCAATTCATAACGTGTTCCTTCAGTAACATTAAAACAAAACCCACTTATTGTAACACTTCTAACTTTTAAAAGGAACAGTAAAAATAATTTCTAATTTATGTAACTTAAACTATACTCCTTTGGAACTTCAGACACAAAAACACATTTATGGTTAAGAAAACAAAAGACAAACATTTAACATGTATACCAGGGTGGCAAAAGAAAAGTTAAACAAAATTCCAGGCCGTGGAAGGTGAAAAGTTAATTTCTCACATGATGATGTGCTGTTTTCTGTAGGTGATGGTTGATCAGATGAACTTGGAACTCTTTCTTTCATGGTTTCTCGGTTTTCCTGTGTTTTCATACAAGGGCAGAGAGAGAATTAAGGCAATGGATGTCTTTTGGTCTGCAGTCTATGGGTGTTTCCTCCACACTGCTGCTCTTGGCAGCTACCACTTTACAGTTCCCTGCAGCTCAGCCAAACACAAGGCTGTTGTAGGCTGAATTTCCTTATCCCAAAACAATTCTCGGTGCTGCTCAATTTTGACTTCTCCCTCCTACAGCTTCCAAAAAGCAGCATGGTATTGCTCAGATCAACAACAGGTTTCAAGGAGGTGAATGGCCTAGTCCTGTTCCTTTGTCCCTGAGAGTGTAGCATTACTTTAATCCTGCATTGTCCGACTTCCCTCAGAGTGGGTTTAAACCTACAAACATTCCTTCCTGTGAGAAGGTTGATGAGATTGATTGAGATGAATCCATGAACACTGGAGTTCCTTGTTGAGTTATGGATGTTGAAACATGCAGCTCTGTGCCTGAATGAGGTGCCAATGATAAGATGTTTGCTCTGTTGACCCGTGCTACCTCCTGATGGTTACAGCTTGTATTCTTCTTCATTCTGCAGATCAACAAAGTCCGGGCTTCTCAAGGTCAAGAGGGACAAATATTCGGTGTTTAACTTTTTAAATGTCCACACAGCTCCTGAACCCCCTAAAATGGAATCCAAAAGGGAAACTGTACAATATAATAGTGAGTGCGTCTATTATAAAGTAAATACCCAGCCAGTGAGCGTGTTGCTGTGTCAGTGTGCTGTCGGCGGGCGCGGCGATGGCGCGCTGTCGGCAACGGCGGGCGTGGCGCGGCGTCGGGGCGCTGTGGGTGGGCGTGGCGC